ATGTGCCCGAAGAAATGCACCATTACATATGCTCGATACTGCATGTGCTCGAGGAAGTGCATCATCGCATTGTGCTCGATATTGCATGTGCCCAAAGAAATGCATCATTGCATGTGCTCGATATTGCATGTGCCCGAAGAAATGCACCATCGCATCGTGCCTGAGACTGCATTGTGCCCGAAGTTTGCATAAGCTCAAGATTGCATCGTGCTCGAAGTTTACATGTGCCCGAATCAAATCAAGTCATAAGTATCAACAGATGTCAAAAACAGATACACTCTCTTTACTCATTACTGATATCCCAAGGGCGTCATCCTCCAAAGGCATCATCTTTCATAGCCTACGGACTTCATGTCATGGCCTGAGGACTTATTTTATGCATATCATGTTCCTAAGGCGTCATAGTCTAAAGGCATCATCCTCATGGCCTGCGGACATCATATCATGGCGTAAGGGTTCAATTTCTTCCTATCATAATCCGAAGGTGTCATAGTCTAAAGGCGTCATCTTCATGGCCTGCAGACAACATTTCATGACCTGAGGATACATTTCACGTATCATGGCCCTAGACACCATAGCCTAAGACATCATCTTGCATGGACTTAAGGCAAACATTCATGGTCTATATGGGAAATTGCATCATGTTTACATTCACCGCTTATTTTGCTCTAATTACTCTACTACAAGTTACAGTTATGCAGATTACAGACAAAGTCGCCTTCTGAACGGCTGTTCCTTTGCTTACACACAAAGGCTACAACAAATTCTTGGCTACTCGAACTATTGTTTCGCTATCATTCAGGCTACCATGAAGATATCTTCGGATTCAACTCGCCACTGTGACTTTCTATGTCTTCAGCTAGGCTCGTCCGCCTTACAATGCGACATCTAGGCTCGTCCGCCTTACAATGCGACATCTAGGTTCGTCCGCCTTACAATGCGACATCTAGGCTCGTCCGCCTTACAATGCGACATCTAGGCTCGTCCGCCTTACAATGCGACATCTAGGTTCGTCCGCCTTACAATGCGACATCTAGGCTCGTCCGCCTTACAATGCGACATCTAGGTTCGTCCGCCTTACAATGCGACATCTAGGTTCGTCCGCCTTACAATGCGACATCTAGGCTCGTCCGCCTTACAATGCGACATCTAGGCTCGTCCGCCTTACAATGCGACATCTAGGTTCGTCCGCCTTACAATGCGACATCTAGGCTCGTCCGCCTTACAATGCGACATCTAGGTTCGTCCGCCTTACAATGCGACATCTAGGCTCGTCCGCCTTACAATGCGACATCTAGGTTCGTCCGCCTTACAATGCGACATCTAGGCTCGTCCGCCTTACAATGCGACATCTAGGTTCGTCCGCCTTACAATGTGACATCTAGGCTCGTCCGCCTTACAAGGGACATTTAGGCTTGTCCGCCTCATAAGACATTTAGGTTCGCCCGCTTATAAGATATTTTGTTCGCTTTATAAAACATCTAGGTTGTCTGCCTTAAAACGACACTTAGGCTCGTCCACCTTGAAATGACGTTTAGATTCTCCATATAACTAGATATTTTCGTCTATTA